CTACCTCAAACAACTCTTACCCAGTGCCACAAACTGGTGGAGGTGGTAAATACCACAAAGTGCCAATAGTGGTCACCTGGGGAAATATGACAGTGATGATCCCATGTGTTTGCTGCCTTTTATCTTTCTGGTGGCAGACTTTGCAGGTTTGAAGGCGTTACCAAAAGAGACTTGGTGGATTTGCCAGCGAGTTAACAAAATGTGGGCTGAGCCAGGGAGGTGTTTTTGAAAACTTTACTCAGTTCATTAAATGTGTTAAGTAGTTCTAAACAATTAGAAAATCATTGCAAATTTTTTTTTAAAAGGGCCAGCAATATAATCCTGGCAATTATCAGCCCATATGATCAACATCAATAATACAACAACAATCTGAGAATCACTGAAAGAAAATATGAAAACATAACAACAGTCAAGGCACTCATTCCAAGTTAACATCAAATTATGAACAGCAGGTAATTGTCTAACAAATTTAGTGGAATTCTTTTGAGGCTATACTTGAATTGGATGCATATAATGTTATGGATATTAGATTTCTGATCCTCAGAATGCATTTGAAAAGATCTGTCACAGGAAATTTATGACTAAGATGCAAGGAAGGTGTCAAGCTGTGTCCACGTTGGGTAAATAACAGGAAAGAAAATTCAAAGTAATAGATATGCTAATTGGCCTGGTTTGACCATAAGCTAACGTAGGAAGCTGTTCTAAGATCTCACTTGTTTACATTTTAATGAATGTAATTAAAAGTTCTGAGTTGAAACGCAAATATTAGAGGATTTTCTGTTCTTTATTTTATTGAATGTAAAATAGTGATGAGTGGCGCCTGTGATTTTTCTGATATTTCCTGTCAGTGAATGAGATTCCCCACAGGGATAATCATTTCTAAAATCCACATTCATTAATGAAACTATCCAAAATAATGATTAAAAATATTGACCTAGTGCACCCGGCAATAAGAAAAGGTCGAAAAATCAGATTTATGATGTTACAACTTTTACCCCAAGCCTGATTCTTCCTATGATCAATGCTCCCTGAGGGTCTGTGGATGCTAATTAGTGACTAGACCCATTGACTTCCAATTCTGGACATTGCTGCCACACATGGACCTCAAAAGTCTGCACAGCAGTAACAGGAGCAGCAGCAAAAATTAGAGGAAATGCAGGTTATGATCCTATCTGATGTTGTTACTGGACAAGTAGACTTGGCTTTAACAATAAAAGAGAAGTTCATTCTGCAAAAGAAAATAAAATAAAATATACTAAGCTATTTACATACAACAAAATTTGAAAGATTTCAAAGCACACAGTAAAAATAAAATATTTCATTTATTGTTCAACTGCCAGAGAATTCCCTTCTGTATTACTGGTTCACTATTGCTTTCAATTCCTTATCTTGAGAGCTTGATAGCCTTTTCCTTGAGTATTCACACAACCGAGCTTAGACTTTCTCAGCTTTGAATAACCCCCTTCAGGGTTCTGGTCTGGAACTTCAATACTAAAACTTTTAAACTGAGGTACCCCAGTACTTAACTTTTCTGAACTAACTCCTTCATACATAGAACCTCAATTTGGATCTCTGCAAATTGAAATCTGAAGCTTTCCAAGCTTATGGGGCTTTCCTCTCAGCCAAATAAAAATCAATTTCTGATCTTTCTAACTGAAAGCGAGCTAATGTTCTTCAATGTTTTGTTTGTCCATTCAGAAATCTCCCTGCTTACTCTTTTAAAATAGATCTCAAGATCACTTTTGATCATATCCCTTTAATTTTTTATATCCTGAATACATTTAGTTACTTCTGGATCTCTCCAAAATCATTTAGTGTATCCCTACCTAGCTCCCAATCCTAATTTTTTTCATCCTTGTTTTTTTAACCCTTCACAATGGTGAACAATTCAGCTGGGCCAACTTTATCAGTTTCCTTCAGTTAGCTTTAAAACTATAATGACAACACCTTGAAGTCTCTTGTTTGGAGGAACCAAGCCCATATTTCCTTAACCATTCTTCTTACTTTATATGCAAATTTACAAACATATGAATTAGAGGCAGGAGAATGCGACTTGCCCCTCAAAACTGATCCATTATTCAATAAGGATATGGTTTATCTGATTATTCCACATTCCTGCCAACCCCGATAACTATTAACCCCCTTACTCATAAAAATCTATCTGCCTTTACCTTAAAAATATTCAAAGTCTCTGTTTCCATGTTTTTCAAGGAAGAGAATTCCAAAAGTTCAAAACCCTGTGAGAAAATAAGTTCTCCTCATCTCTGCCTTAAATGGATGTCTCTTTATTTATGAGCAGTTACAATTTTAAATTTTTCCACTCCAGAATCATGTTTATTATCATATTCTTCCTCTAATTAAGTTGCAGGAACTGCATTAGTGCTTCATGTGGGATCCAATCAAAGCCACATTGCAATGACAGTCTCTTTTGATAGTTCCCTGACTGCTCCATCAATCATGTGCTGATATTTTTCTCCAATAATTTCTTGGTCTCTTTCTCAATCAGAATCATTACAAACAGCAAAGGTTCACCTCCAATCCCTCTGAATAAAGCACAACTATAACAGACAAGTTGTTGGATAGAAAGAAATAAAACCAGATTTCAAACATTACCAAAACTGCAAGATAGATGTGATTTGAAGTGGGAAAACTGAAACAGGAAGAAATGAGAGCAATTAACAAATTTGCATCATGCAATGTCCTTCACAGTCTCAGGATATCCCAAAATGTTTCATAAATAATTGATTATTTTGAAGGCTTGTCACTGATTATTTTGTTGACAAACTACACTGACCTCTAGGGCTCCTGTAGACATCCATAACTTTCTTGAGTTTCAATCATTCAGTGTAGGATACAGTCTGTAGCCCATGAATATGTGACAGGCTTGCAACATTTTTGGATTCCTCCATAAAGTACAGTTCAATATGTTTTCAAAATTCAGTCATGGAATGTGGACTTCACTGGCCAAGCCAGCATTTATTGCCCATCCCTAGCTGCCCTTGAGAAAGTGATGGTGAGCTGCCTTCATAACTTCTGCAGCCTATTTTGTGTAGATACATCTCCAATGCTTTTAGGGAGGGAATTCCAGGATTTTGACCCAGTGACACTGAAGGAACAGTGATATATTTCCAAGTCAGAATGGTGAGTGGCTTGGAGGGAAATTTCCAGGTGGTGGTGTTCCCATATGCCCTTGTCCTTCTAGATATGGTGGTCGTGTGAATGGAAAGCAGTGTCTGTGGAGCTTTTGTGAATTCCTGTAGTGCATTTTGTAGATAGTATAAGCTGATGCTACCGAGTGTCAGTGGGAGAGGGAGTGGATATTCGTGGATGTGGCACTGATCAAATAGCTTGCTTTGTCCTGGACGGTGTCAAGGAGTACTGCTGGAGCTGCACCCATCCAGGAAAGTGGGGAGTATTCAATCACACGCTTAACTAGTGCCTTGTAGATGGTGGGCAGGCTTTGGGGAGCCAGGAGGTGAGTTACTTGCTGCAGGATTCCTAGCCTTTGACCTGCTCTTGTAGCCATTGTATTTATATGGCAAATCCAGTTCAGTTTTGTTCAATGGTAACCCTCCCACCGAACAGGATGATAGTGAGGATTCAGTGGTGGTAATGTCATTGTATGTCAAGAGGCAACATTTGGATTCTCTTTTGTGGAAATAGTCATTGCCTGGCACCCATGTGGCATGAATGCCACTTGTCATTCCAAGCCTGGATGCGGTCCAGGTCTTGCTGGATTTTGGTAGGGAACTACTTCAGTATCTGAGGAGTCATGAATGGTGCTGAACACTGTGTAGTCATCAGGAAACATCCTCACTTCTGAGCCACTCCCTCCTGACTGTATACCAGTGTGCCTCTACCTCTACTGGCTCTGTCCTGACAGACATTGATGGTAGTGTCCGGAACATTGTACGTAGGTTTTATTCTGTGAGCATGCCTATGTCAGGTTGTTGCTTGACCAGTTTGTGAGACAGCTCTCTCAGTTTTGGCACTAGCCCCCAGATGTCACTAAGAAAGACTATGGAGTGTTGCTGGGGATAGAATTGTCATTGTTGTTTCTGCTGCAAGTGTCAGTTCCAGGTGGTCCTTCAGGCTTCATTCCTCTTTTGAGATGCTTCAGTGGAGTGCATTTTGATGAAAGTTTTATTTGTAAGCGCTCAGCAATTTTCGACGTGAAGTTAAATGAACAACATCATTTTGCCTCATATCTATATCAAATTTTCAATGCTTCTATTTGAACCCTTTGACTGCTGCTTGGAAAGCTCTGATATCTCAGAGATGATTGGATTTGTTTGTATTCAGCTCACATCATACAACAGTGAAATAAACAACATGACGATCAAAACCCGTCTGACAAGGACCAGTGTTAGTGCTGTAATACCAGACTGTAGTTGTTGTTCTGAGAACACCTTGATTTTAAAATTATAACCCATGTTTTCAAATTCCTCCATGGCCCAATCTCTGTAAACTCCTCCAGCCCCACAGCCACCAGAGTTCTCTCTGTTGCTCTAATTCTGCACTCTTGTGTGTCACTAGTTTTAATCATTTCACCATAGACAGTCACACCTTCAGTTACCTGGCTTTAAGCTTCCTCCCTAAACCTCTTGTTTGCCCTCCTCCCTGGGGATGCTCTTTAAAACCTACCTTTTGAATCAGGCCTTTGGTCACCTGTCCTCAGGTCTCCTTGTGTCAGCCCAGTGACTTATTTGGTTTCATAGGGTGGAATTTTTGCAGCCTCCAAACAGTGTAGCCAATGGCAAGAAAGTTGGGAAAATATAGCAAGGACAGTAAAACTGAGATTCTTGACATCATGAGAGAAAGTCCGATTTTGTGCTTAATTTTTAAATGGGTAGATGACTTCTTACTAGTGAGTGGTGAGGGGCTGATTTGTATGCACTGATACCTCATTATTATCCAGTCTGATCTCATTTCTATTTTCCCCAGTCAGCAGAGAGAAACTCAACAGCACAGGTTTCTGACTTGAAAGTTTGAACAGTTACCTGGGATCCTCTGGTGCCTTCTCCATCGTTACTAACATTCCCCAACAGCTTAACAGTTGCTCCCCAGGCCTGTGACCACCTGCACCCTCTGTCTACAGAGGTTGGCATTAACCAAGTGCCAGCCTCAGCACATCATCATAGCACATCCCCATCTCAGTTATAATGCAGTTCAGCAATTCAATACCGTAGTTTGGAGCTCACTTACACCTTCTGTTGCAATGCTGCTGCTGGGCCATTTTGTGCCCAGGGATAATCACCTACCCCGTGCATTAGAACAGGGGCTGTTCCATGAAATAACAATCATAAATAATATTAAAGGATATGAGACAATTCTCGATATGCATTGGGAATAGCAGAGAAATCATATTGAGGCCAGTTTAAATCAACTGAGAAAGGCAGGCCATTGGGGTGGATGCTGGATCAATGGCAAACAAGCAAAGGTCAAAGTCAGAATGTCTACAAAATTCCCGAGATTAAGTTTGGACATAGCAGACCTACTAACAGAATTTAAATACATTTAAACATTTGAACACATCAGGATTTACAGCCAAAGAGCTAAAAGATTAATACATAAGAATCTGATGATATACACATGGAGACACATAGTAGCGAATATATTTCACCTTCAATCTCATGAAAAAAATCACTGTTATCACAAACAAACACTCTGGAGAAACTTGACAGGTCTGGCAGCACCTATGGAGAGAAAGCAAAGTTAATGCTTTGGGTTCCATTTTGGTTGGGGGGTGGAATTAAAGGAGTAAATGATAGGTGGAGATGAAACCCAGAGAAAGAGAACAGCAGTTTGGCAGACCAAGGGATGGATAAGAACAACCCTGGGGAGAAAGAAAAGCTGCTAATGGGGACATTAGTGGGTGAAAATGGGTTGCTTATGGTGAAAGCAGCTCATGTGATGGCAGGGCCAGAAGTCTGAGGCTGAGTAAAAGATATGGAAGAAGGTGCTCAGACCCTAAAGTTACTTAACTTGATATTGAGTCCAGAAGGGTGCAGGATCCCCAAGTGGAAAATGAGATGTTGTTCTTCCAGCTTGCGCTGAGCTTTACTGGAACACTGCAACAAACCTGAGACAGAGATGTTGGACAGGGAACACGATGGTGTGCTGAAGTGGCAGGCAACTGGAAGTTGAGGGACGTTTTTGTGGACAGAATGTAGGTGTTCCACAAAGCAATTGCCCAGGCTGTGTTTCATTTCCCCAGTGTAGAGGAGACCACACTGTGAACAGAGAATACAGTAGACTAGATTGAATGAAGTGCAGGTAAATCGCTGCTTCACCTGGAAAGTATGCCTGGGGCCTTGGATAGTGAGAAGGGAGAAAGTAAACAGGCACGTGTTACACCTTCTGGAATTGCATGGGAGAAACCCATAAATAACAACACCTTGCATTTATATAGCACCTTTAAAGGTTCCAAAGTACTTCACAGCAGTATAATGAGAAAACAATTTAATGCCAAGCCAAAGGAGGAGACTTTTGGATAGATCTCTAAATGGTGAAAGAGGTAAATTTTTAAGGAGCATTTTAAAGCTGGAGACACCAGGGGAATTTGCAGAGGGCATTTCCAAATTAGTGGGCAAGATGACTAAAGGCATGGTCACCAATTGGCTGAAGGATGTCAGAAACATGCAAGAGGTCAGAATTTGAGGAGCTCAAATGCATGGAGTCAGTTTTCATCCCTGTTTTTTAATTTTGTTTCATGGGATGTGGGTACTTCTGGCAAGGCCAGCATTCGTTGCTCATCCCTAACTGCCCCTTGAATCAAGTGTCCTGTCACACCATTTCAGAGGGCAGTTAAGAGTCAACCATATTGCTGTGGGTCTGGAGTCACATGTTGGCCAGACCAGGTAATGATGTCAAATCCCTTCCCTGAAGGACATTCCTGAACTAGATGGACTTTTACAGCAATCAGTGATGGCTTCACAGGACAATTAATGAAACTAGCTTTTAATTCTAGACATTGTTAATTGAACTTAAGTTCCATCAATTGCCCTATGATATTTGATCTGATGTCCCCAAAGCATTAGTCTGGGCCCTTGGATTACTAGTCCAGTGATATTAACACTACACCATTGACCTCCCCCTGAATTTATGAAGGTCAGGTTAGAACAGTATTAGATCCAGCAGTTATTGTCTCTTTTCCAGAGTCTTACTCAATCACACTTAATCCTACAATTGTACACAACCTTGCTGATACCATATCTGGAGAACTGAGTCCAGTTTTGATCTCCTTACCTCAGTAGGAATATTCTTGGAGTGGATGCAATGAAGGTGCACTTGACTGATTCCGGAAGTGAGGGAATTGTTATTTGAAGGGAGATTGAATAGGCATGGCTGATATTTCCAGGAGTTTGGAAGGATTAGAGGTGATCTCATTTAAACATGTAAAATTCTTATGGGGTTAGACGGGATGGATGCTAATGTGATGTTTCCCCTGGCTGAGGAACTTGGAACACTGAGTCAAAGTCTGAGTTAGGGGGTCAACCACTTAGGACTGAGATATGGATTCAAAGGGAAACTTTGCAAATCTTGACCGCAGGGAAGTGTGGATGTTGTCATTATTGACATTCCAGACAGGGATTTCTGGACACCAGGAGAACGGAAGCAGGGGCATGAGAGTACGAAATAACACAACTGGATTGCTTGAGCATCTAAATGGCTTGCTCCTGCTCCTGGTCCTTGTCCTAATGAATGGTCTTGATTGAGAAGTGGAGAGGGCACTGCCTCTAATTTAATGATATCCCTGTATGACTTCATACCTTCAGCGAAGAAGAAAATGAGTAATTCTTTATTGCAATATAAGTGAAACCAAATAACTCTGATTTTGAGGTTTATTCTTCCAGTTTGTTTTTGCTTTCCTGTGATATAAAATGCTTGGACTGAGCTGTTGAGTTTTAGCCTCCTGGGCTGGGTATTGATTGTGACATAATTTCCTGTGCACAGTAGGTTTTATTGTGTTATCCGCTTCTCTGGAGTTTGTTAGTTTGGGCATTTTTCCAACTTTTCACATTGCAATTTATGGTTTGCATTTTCCCTGAAAGGATAAAATTTCTCATTTCTGTTTATTATTTTGTAACAAATGAAGAATATTGGAAATGTCAAACCTCATTGATGTGAATTTAGTGAAAATAACACCATTTATTTTGTGAAACATACTCATTTTTGTTTACTAAATGTGATAACCCTGAACCTGAGCTTGATGCTATCTAATTCCCTGCTGGAGTTTTAACTCTCCTGTTAGAGATTTTAATTTAGCTGTAACCTGATGTATTTTTTACTTATAAAATTCCTCCTCCTCTCCATATTTCCAGTCTTCCATTTCCATTCTATCTCCCATCCTCCTCTCCCCTCAACAATTCTCTCTGTCCTCCTCCCTCACATTCTGTCTCCTCCCTATCCCTTCCTTTTCCTCCTGTTCCATCCTGTATCTTTATGTTGTGTGGAGCTGGAGGAACACAGCAGATCAGGCAGCATCAGAGGAACAGGAAAGTTGACGTTTCAGGTTGGGACTCTTCATCAGAATGATCAGTTCTGATGAAGGGTCCTGACCCGAAATGTCGACTTTCCTGCTCCTCTGATGCTGCCTGACCTGCTGTATTCCTCCAGCTCCACACTGTGTTATCTCTGACTCCAGCATCTGCAGTTCTTGCTATACCTATCTTTGCCACAACTTCCCCCACTCTCACTTCTTTCCTCTCACATTCTCCCTAATAAAATGGTCACTCATGTCTGCGCCATGATCTGATTGAATGGTGGAAAAGGCTCAAGGGGCTGAATGGCCTGCTGTGATTCCTATGGTCCTCTCCCTCTCTCTTCTCTACCCTTCTCCTTTCATTTACAACTCATTCTGGGTAGGGTTCTGTTGGTAGATGCTGACTTCACAATTCTCAACCCATTTCTATTCTTTATGTGGGTAGTGAGACAATGAAGATTAGATAATTGCTCTTCATCACTGGATTGAAGAACTCAGAAACCCTGGCTGTACAAATGGATATAGGCTGCTTGCAATAGTGTGGCCATTCAGTTTATCCTCATCTCAATCAGGCTGCCAATTGTAAGTCACCTGTCTTTCATTGAACTTTCTTCCTCTCATAATGTTGCTTTAATTTTGGAACTATTAAGGAGAGCATTCTGTGACTGTGAGAGGCCTTCATAGGACAGGTAGAGACTGGCTACATAAAACATAAGCTGATCCGACATACTGCTGGTCATAATTTAATTCACACCAACTCACCTTTATCCCTTACTCCTTCTGCTGGTGGAACTATAAGGTCCCAATGTGGCAACACCTTCATTTTAAAATTCTCATCCTTATTTTCAATTTATTTCATACCTTCACTTCCATATCTCCACAACCTTCTCTCATCCTACAATGTAAGAGCTTTGAACTCCTCCAACTCTTGGCCCATGCTGATCCTCAATTTGCTTAATCTACCATCTACCAAGGTCCTTTAGCTACCTCAGATCTAAACTCTGGAAATCCCTCTTTAAACTTCCCACTCCTCTTTCTCTGCTTTTGAGAAGGTCCTTAAAACCTACCTTCTTTTTTGACCAAGTTTTTAGCCACCTGTCCTAATTGTTGTGTAAATTCTTTAGGACCCTGGAGTAACCTTGCAGCAATTACATAGAGCTGCTTCTCACTGGACATAAATATCACCGTATAGGTGGAGTTAGGAGAAAAGCTCATGGAGAGCTAGGCAGAAGCCAGATCTCTCTGTTCCTGCACACCCTTTGTTTTACTGTATTTCCATGTTATTTGTACAAAGATGTATCACCTCACATTTCTTTGCATTGAAGTTGATTTGTTACCTGTTTGCCCACTCCAGCAACTTGCCAATATCCTTTTATAATTTGACAGTCTCCCTCACAGTTTCCAAAGCTTCCAAGTTTGGTGTCACCTACAAACTTGGAAACTGTCGCTTGCATGCCAAGATCTAGATGATTAATATTTATCGGGAAGAGCAAGGGTCCTAAAACCAACCCTGGGGAACTCCATTACAAATCTTCTTCTAGCCAGAAAAATATCCATTAGCCATTACTTTAATTCCTATTTGATAGCCAATTTTGTATCTATGCTGCTACTGATTCTTTTATTCCATGAGGTGTAAGGTTTCTCACAAGTTTGTTGTGTGCTACTGTATCAAACACACCAGTAACATTTAAACAGGGTGGCAAACCATCCTGTATCTAACAGAATTGTCCTATAATTTCACCATTTGTCCTGCTTGCCACTTTATATCTCTCCTGGGGAACCCATTTGTCCTGTATATCTCAGGGGAAACTATTGGAACAATACTGGGAGCCTCCTCTTGCCTATGTACAGATGCACTGAACTCCCACTATTAGGCACAAGGATTAGGAGTGCAGAAGAGCTGGGTCAACATAGAATCCCTACAGTGTAGAAGCAGGCCATTCGGCCCATTGAGTCCACATCAACCTTCCTAAGAGCATCTCACTCAGATCCACACCCCTACCCTATCCTTGCAACCCTGTATTTCCTGTGGCTAACCCACCCAGCCTGCACATACCTGGACTCTATGGGCAATTTAGCACGGCCAATCCAGCTAACCCATACATCTTTGGACTGTGCATATGCAAGTTGTTTCTTACAATGAAGGTGAAACTGGTTCTCCCTGACTCTTAGCACCACAACTCCATCTCCCAAGACCCAATCTTCCATACCCTCTCACCCTGACCCTCTTCCCTATCCACCAATCCCTCTTGCACATTCCCTCTCCTACACACTCTCTTCTCAGTTCCTCCCTTCTGCCACGTTCTCTCCCCATCAGTCCCTCTGTCTCCACACCTTCGAACCTCCTACTCCCTTCTTCCCCTCCCATCCACAACATCAAAGTGTGCTTTCGTTTATTCTCTAAAAGCGATTCGCTCCAGGATTCCTGTGACACATCTATTACAGATCCCCAGATCTTCCTTGAATTTTACGTTTTAATGGAACCATTCCGTGCCCAATATCCAGGAAAGCTACATCAGCAAAGGGCTTAAAATCCCTCAGTGAAGACCAAAGCAGTTTCAAATGTGACCTTTCAGCTCAGCCGGAAATCCGCTTCATGTTATGAGAGCACCTGATATTTGTGAAGAACGCAATAATTATTTATGATACGGCGCAGTTTTATTGAAACATTCAAAAATATCTCTCAGGAGCTTGTCTTTTTGTGAATCTGCCCGGCCCGTGAGAAATTTTTAGAGAAAGAATGTTTGAAATGAGCCGGGCGCTCTGACCTTTGTAATTACACAGGACACACGGATGGGGAGGGGACATTGCGCTGAATTTGCGGAAGTATTCGCGGGTGTGGCTTTCAAAACAGACACGGCTTGATTCCTGCAGATTTTCAATGTGGTTCTTTTTGCAAAATGCCTTGTTGTGGGGCAAGCAGTCCTGGAAGGAGTGACAGGAAGGTTCATTGTAAAGTGGTGGAAGGGGAGGATGGGGTGTGGGCCAGTGAAGGAGGGAGACTGAGGCAGGGGGAATGAAGTAGTGAGAGTGAACTAGTGAGGAAAGGGGAGGGAGTGAGGCAGGGGGATTGAACCAGTGTGGAAAGGGGAGGGAGTGAGGCAGGGGGGAGGGGGAGGGTAAGGAAGGGGGGGGGGTCGGCGGGGGAAACAACGGGGTCTGGGGGGGGGGGGGTACAAACAGTTAATGATTCCGCTGCCAACCTTGCGCGCACGCACACACACACACACACACACACAGAGAGAGAGAGACAGAGCCGGGGCCGCGCTCCTGAAGGGGATGAATCCTCCGGTTACGGCCGATCTGGTTTTGCTGCATGTTATCGCTCCGGCTCTGGAGGAGAGAGCTGGCGGCTCCAGTTCGGAGCCGGGCTCCGGGTTGGGTTTGAAGCCGTTTTCCGGGAGCCGCCGCCCGGTCCCCCGCTCGCTACAAGATGCCGCCTGCAAACTGCAACCTTTCGGCTTTCCCGGAACAAAAGGATCGCGGCCGCAGCTGATGGTTTTCCGTAACTTAGTGCGGCCGGAGGATGGGGGCCCGGGCCCGGGGAACAGGAACAGCTCCACCGGGGGTCGCCGGCTCATGATCAATTGTTGCCCCCGGGATGAAGCTCGCTCTCCCCCCGGTTCCCCGGGAGCTGGAGGCGGCGGCGGCGGCTGCTGCCCCCGGCGGGAGGAGCGGGTCTGCTTCGACCTGGCCCGGGACTTTGGTGACTTCTCGGTAGCGCCGCCGGAATGGGAGTGCTCGGAGCCGGCCGAGGGGGCCGCGGTGACCGGGGACAGCTCCAGCGGCCGCGGGGCCCGTTCCCCGAGCGAGGAACCGACCGACACCAGCGACGCGGTGCTGGTGCTGGAAGGGATCGAGCCCGGGATGGAGCCCCAGCTGGAGGCCGGGGCGGAGAGCGGCTCCCCCGGGGCAGACTCTCCTGCTGCTGCCGCCCCCCCGCAGGCTGCCTCTCCCCGGCTGGCCGAACCGGAGAGCCCCGGGGGGCTGCTCAAGGTCCGGCTGAGCCGCTGCTCCAGCTCCCCCAGCCCCTCGCTGCAGAGAGACGGCGACGAGAAGCTGCTGAGCCGCCTGCCCGTTAAAACCCGCAAGAGCTCCCTGAAAATCCGCCTCAGCAAACTGTTCCGCACCAAAAGCTGCAATGGCAGCGGTGACCCTACAGCGAAAAGACATTCCGTGGAACTGGATACATCGGCTGCCTGCTTGGTGGAAATCTCCCAGCTGCAGGAAGGTTACACCATCAGAAGGTACAAATAAACCCTCATTGCTGTTAACCCGGGCACTGGGCTTTACAGGGAGGAGGGTGAATGAAACTGTCAGCCCTGGTCAACCCGGATCACCCCCCTCCCCCGGCGTCCCAAAGGTGGCATTATACCCAACTGGGGAGAGGGGAGACTGAATCTCCACACTTCTGGGTCACCAATGCAGAGAAACCGTTTTACTCTCGGTTGAATTTGGGTTGTAGACCCATCGCTGCTGAGAATAACTTGATGCGGGGGGTGCCGGCGTTGAGCGGGGTGGAGGGGGAGAGACAAGGTCAGAAGACACACCACACCGGGTTATAGTGCAACAAGTTTATTTGAAATCACAAGCTTTCGGAGCAGCGCTTTCAAATAAACCTGTTGGACTATAACCTGGTGTCGTGTGAGTTTTGACCTTGTCCACTCAACAGGACACCTGGGGAGGGGAGGCTGAAACATTTCTCACTTCAGGGTCATTGATGGAGGGAAACCCTTTGTTTTACTCGGTTGAATTTTGTTACAAGACCCATCACTACTGAGCATAATTTGAGGTCATAGATTAAAAGTCAAGCGTGGGGCACAAGGACATTTCCCCCTTCCCTATAAATGGAATTGTGACTTTGTCCTCGCCCCTGTTTCAAATCATTAAGGATTTCGGTCGAGAAATCTGCAGTCTAGCAGCAGAAAGGCCATTCGCCAGCGTGCTGATGATTGAAGGTGGCTCAGAGGCAGTATCAGGAAAGAAACGATCTGAAATGCACTACCTGAAAGAGTGGCGAAGGAAGTTTTCAGTAGTTGCATTCTAAAGAAAACAGTTAAAACAAAAGTGGAATTGCAGGGAAAGTGCAGGAGACTTTGAGTAATTGGAGAGCTTGACCAAAAGTGTCAGTATAGGCAGTGTGGGCTGAATGGCTGCCTCCCGTGTTGTATCAGTTTTTGACTTTTATTTACTGCAGTGGTGTACTGATAGTGGTGATTGTGTGCTGTCTCCTGGTTCACGTGCAGGAATGTCACAGACAGCACCTTGCCAAGATCTTGGATTGTATTTGACTGCTTTGACATACAAGGCCAGGAGAAGAGTATCATTGCATACCAGTTCTTGGAAATGAACGGTAATGTTAATTTTTTTCAGGGAAGCTCAATGGATCCATTTCTCAACATCTTGCCCAAACTAATAGTGATACAAGAAAAATATAATTATAGACACCCTGACCAATTTTCTCGTAAAAGCAGTGAGTCACACTGAGATATTGTTATTGTTCTAAGAGTTAAACTACATGGTGTAGGTATGGTATCACACAGACCACACTAACAGAGGTAGCCTGGTTTCCTTCCTGAAGGACGTTAGTTAACGCTGTAGGAATTTTTACTGCAGCCTTTTTGTGTTCATTTTCTGCAGTGCCAGCTCAGGCGGGTTTATGAAATTCAATTTCATAACTTGCCAGAGTAGGATGACTTGAATTTTAAAAAAAAATCTGGAATATTTAACATTTTGAAGAACTAGTGTCAACAGTAAAAGTGACCCTGAGCCTGTCAATTTTTGCTATGTCTAGTTGGGTTCTCTAATTATCTTTTGGAAAGCTAATCTTCACATTTTACCCAGTCAGTCCTGCATGTGACTCCATTTCTGTAGCAATGTGGTTGACTCTTGACTAGCTACTCAGCTGGATCAAACTGTTACAAGCACTTCTCAAGGGCAACTAGGAATGGGCAGTAATTCCAGCCTTGCTAGCAATTTCAACATCCTGAGAATCCAGGCAGGGATTTGGATTCACAGTTGCTGGTTGATCCCCTGGAATCACAACTGGGCCACTGAGCCTCCCTGGTATGATTTCACAGGGAACAACTATACTCACTGAGCTGGCCATTCTTTGCCAGTGTAGTCGATGCCTTACTGCAGTTTAATGATTAAGCCAACTAGACAAATTGCAGCTGAGCCCAAGAGCATCCTTACTTGCAGTACATACACTTGCCACTTCACAGCAGGGGTCACCGGCTGACTTTCCCTGTTCATTAGTCTGGGGATGCTTAGGCCAATTGTATCAACCAGCTCCTTGGAGGAGCTACCTTTACTTGTGGATATCAAAGCCTAACCTTGTAAGATGATTAGTCACATTTATGCTTTAAGGAACCAATGTACAGTTTGCAACAGGGATAACTTAAGGGACTACTCTAGATGTGATCTTTAGTCAACCCACAGTTATAGTTGCTCCACCAATGGTGACTGTGCCTGCAAGTGCCTAGGCCATAAGCTGTGGAATTCTGTCTCTTCACTGCTGTACCTTACTTCCTCCTTTGGGGCACACCTTAAAAACTACTTCATTGACTCCCTGTTGGTCAACTGACCTAATCTCCTCATGTGTCTAGATGTTATACCTGTACTTTTTGTAATTCCACTGAGAAGCTCCTTGGGATGTTTCATTATGTTAAAAAATAAATATAAGTTGTTCATCATAAAACAACAGCTTCAGTACCAAGAGAAGTAACTGCTGCTGAAATTGATGTTAAATTACTGTGCAAGTGTTCATCATGCAGTAATTCAGAGGGTTACTCCTTTAGGGGCAGACATTACACCATGTTAATGTATTCTACTAAATTGTAGGTATTTTGCCTGAAAGAGAAACAAACCTGATTTGCTCTGCACTCCTGAAGTGGAAGATTGGCTTTACCTAAAGATCAAGTTGATCAGAACCTTAGTTTTGTTTGTGGAAAATTGATTTAAGAAATTGTGGATATTCTGGCCTTATTAGTTGAATGTAGCACAGAAGTTTGCACTCATGAACATGTGTGATATCTTGATTGTGAATGTATTGCTGCTTTAACATGGTAGGACTATTACTTGACAGAAGAAATGTTTCAGGAAAGTTATGACAATTACAGAGAGTACCTGTTTTACGCAAGAGTCTTAATATGTTACAGTTTATTTTTAAAAAAGGAATTTTTAGATTTGCTGTTTTATTTTTCTGATGAGCCATTCACAGAGTCTCGTATTTTCTGAGGGCTGATTGTAACATTGCAGTTCTCAATAATAAAGCAAGGCCCATGCAGTTTCAACATTGATAAAGTAAGAGAATCAGAGTTAAATAATCTATGCTAGTAAATGATGCCAAACTTGGATTTGCAAAAAAAAATCTAGACGGATGAAAAAGGCTGTGAAAAAATGAAGTTGATAGTTTGAGGTTCTGGAAAAGATTTATTGACAACAAGGTGGTGATTAAATTAACTTAGAGTTTATGAAGAAGTGTGTGGGATGCATTTGGGAGTAATGGGATGAAGAGGTTCAGCAGAGCATTGACTATAATGATATTGATATTGATCAAGTTGAGAAAGGAAGGTGTCATACGATTTTGTCTGAGCCTGTAGTGACACATTGTCTGGGACTCTGTTCAGATCAGTGAAGATTATACCTAATTCTTTGAAAAATGCCTTGTGGAATCCTATCCATTCTGTTCTGCATTCCTCATCCGCTCCTGTCCATGATAAAAATTCACTGCAAAGTATTTGTGGGAGGCAGCTTCTGAAGTGACAGCTGAGCTGGTACTTGAAAGTAGAACAGCATTCAGATCTGGGTTAACTTCATCTACAGAAGGCATTGAGTTAAGAAAGTCTTTCTGGAATAATGGGCTTAGGTGAGTCGTTTACTCTTGTGTCTTGGGCATAGAATCAATGAACCAAATTGCACTCTCTGTGCTGTTTGATTCTGTGATTTTTGTCAGTTATGGTTTGGAATTTGAAGTAATTTGGGACGTTTGTTGTTTCAGGGAAATGATTTTTGTATTTGAGGTGAAATGAAGTAGCAAAAGAAGGGGTGAGTTGCCGTTGTGATATTTTAGATCAGCAGAGTACATTAGCTATGCTAAAATAACTTCGAAGGGATACTTTCTCTTCATGACTGGTGTGATATGACTGTCAACTTTGAGGTACCGAGGGTAAGCGTTAATAAACACGCATTTACTGGCACTCAGTAACATAGTGGGCAGATATATCACAGGGTGTAGGATGGTCCCAGGTTTGGGTTGTCAACACCGAATCTTGCATTTGACCGGGGCAGTCAGAAATTGTGAAAATATACAAAACGCGAGTCAAAAAGAGAAGGGAAATGGCTCAAAGTAGTGAGATGTATAAAAAGTAACACTATAAAAACATGCATGGTGACCAAGGAGCCTGTGGTTTCACGCATCGTTAATTTGGCTACTGGCCAATTTAATCAATATGATGATCAAAAGAACCCTGGACTAGGTGGGTCAATAGATGGATAGAGTTTAATATCAAATAATGGGATTAAGTGAGGGGTGATAAAATAGAATAGATTTTAAATGACGATGAGTTTCAGGCACTGGAACAGCAAAGAGAACTGGATGTCTTGTTTGAAAGGTCATCAAAGCCATTGGTTCCATGTTTGTAGGTGATTGAGGAATGGTACTGAATTATAGGTCGCAGGAGGTGACTTTGAATTTTAATCCACTTGAAGCTTGATCTTGCAGCCTGTGTTCTGTCTGATCCTGCATAACATAATAGTTATTGGAAGGAATCCAGGGGAGGGTTGGTTGGGGGACAATTTTGAAGAATGATTGTTCACTTTAGGAATGGGACTGAGTCCTGAAAGAGTTGTTCAGGCATTTCACAGTATGGAACAAAGTGACTCCATAACCCTCCACCCCCTGCCCCATTCTTTAAAATCAATCAAACTTTTCAGTTGTCTCTCACCAGCAAGATATTTTATCTGATGTGACAGTATGTTATCTCTTGTCACATAAACTTTGTATGGATAATATGTTATTGAAAGATTCAACAGATATTTATAACAGCTCACTAATATATACAAGCATTACACTCTTCAGACGCATCAATGTCCAGACTAAAGTTAAGATATGACATGAGCACTGAGGAGCATGCTTTCGATAGCATATTGTGCTTCAAGTGCTCTCCAGTAAGTTGGCACCAGAGATGTTTAAACCCTCAGATCTCAAACTGTGGATGATATCAGCATATCTGTTAAAGGTATA